CGGTGATTCTTTTCTTCCTTCCTGTACTCAGGATACAAGGATGGGCTTCAGACATTCATTTTCTACTTAGGAATTATGTACATATGAGAACAGATTTCATCCTTTGACTGTGGTGCATGGAGCCAGATCTTGTGGAGGACTTAGGAACTGTGGAAGTTTGGGGAAGACTGACCAGAGAGTGAAAAGGATCACACAGGCAAGAGGGGAAGTATGAGAAGCTAGCAGGGATGAGGGGGAAGAGAAAACAGCTTGAAATACCACATGTATCTCATTACCCTTTCTCGTACCTCACCCATAAGATCTCTTCTTCCCTTTCAAGATCCCCTTTCTAGTTTCATAATCTAAGCACACGGATACACACACATGCACACACACTCATCTACACATGTATGCATAAACAAACATTTCAATCTAGGTTCTGCACAGAAAACATGCAATATTTGTCTTTCCGAGTCTTACTTATTTTGCCTAACTTAATGGCTTCCAATTGCATCTATTTTCCTGCATCTGAGGAGATTTTACTTTTCTTTGTGGCTGTATAGAATTCCGTTGTGCATCTGTACCGTGTTTTCTTTATTCATGCATCTATTGATGGATACATTGGCTGGTTCCATTTTTGTGTGTTGTTGTGAATAGTTCAGCAATAAACACAGATACCCAGTGTGGCTATGACAGGATTTAGGCTCCTTTGGGTATGTAACCAGGAATGGTACAAGTGGGCCTTATGACAGTTTTGATTTTTTTAAGGACTTTTGTTGAAGAACTTCCATATTGATTTCAATATTATATACAGCATCACATTCCCCCAGCAGTGAATAAGGGTTCTTCTTTTTCTACATCCACACCAGCATTTGTTGATTTTTTTTCATGGTGATAGCTATTCTACCTAGAATTTCTATTTGCATTTCCCTAATGACTTAGGCTTAGTGAACACTTTCCAAGTATTTTCAGCCATTTGGGCTCCTGCTTTTGACAGCTGTCTATTTAGTTTATTAACCCATCTTATTGACTTGTTTTGTTGTTTAGCTTTGCAAATTCTTCATGCATTCTAAATACGAACTGCTGTTACACGCGTGGTTAGTAAACATGAAAGTGGCAAGGAGGCTTCAGGATGGGAGGAAGGAGACCAGCACAACAGAGTCAGGAGAACAGGGGAGGACCGTGACGGAGGAGAGGTGAATAAGAACAGACCTATGGGAAAATGCCGTGACAAAACCCATTACTTTGTATGATATAAGAACTTAAAGAAATAAATAGAACAGACTTCCCTTGTGCTCTAGAGACCCATGTGCCACTGTGTCAACAACTGGATGTCACCTTTTTACGGAAGACGAAAGTTGGCCGTGGGGAGGAAACATATTTGTTGAAGCAGCCAAACCCAGTGACTGTAAATGGCCAACATGTGTCACTCAGAGGTTTAGGTGGCATCCTATGTGCCAGGACCTATGAGGAAACAGGGATGCGGTGCTGAACAAATGCTCAGATAATTCCTGTTTGTGTAGAAAGGCACACAGTACTCAACAGGTGATGGAAGATGGAAATAAATGTTTAACCTTTGGGGCCTCTGAAGGATTACAGCACCCCCCCCCAACCCCACCTCTGTACATGTGGAGTGGGTGGGGAACCTGTTGTGATTTCAGTTTGTCTTCGTAATAACACTGCTGTTATTTCACGCAGGGGCAGGAGGAGCACGTCTTGGAGAGAGAAAGATGAAGCCTTGAGTAAGCAATCGGTGACAGACAGATGCTCAGACCCCCCAAAGTTGGGAATGAGCTTTTTCACATTTGGCTGTCACATTTAGCTGCTCTTAGTGAATCATTCAGATAAAAAAAAAAAGTCTAAGCAGCAGTCAGAGGCACAGTAGCAGCTGCAGCACGCTGTCTCCTTCTGCCCGGCTCACACTTCTGTGCACAGGCGCCTGGCTCACACTTCTCCTGTGCACAGGTTTCCTACTCCTTGAATAAGACAGAGAGCTGACAGCTCACATGGGCACGCCGGCCAGAGCCAGGCCGCCTGCGCTGAGGACTCAGGCTGTGGCCTCGAGGTATGCTTTAACTTCTCATTTGCTCTGTGGGATGGAGAGCCTGGCTTACCAACGGTGTTTATTTCTGTTCAAAGCTTTGGAAATAAAAGGTTTGTGCAGATGTTTCCAGGGCACCCTATACACTCTTCCCCAGTGTCTGTGGTCAGGGCAGCCACCAGAGTCAGGAGCCATGACTCACCCTAAACTGGATGTTACTGCTTCTTAAAATATTGTGTTGGTCTCAGTCTCGGGAAAGTTGCTGTGTTCCTCACAAACACTGCTAGGCAGGCCAAAGGGGTGGCGAGCGTGGGTGGGATTCTGTGAGCCATTCTGCGCGGCCAAAGTTTGTTTTAGCTAGTTTTGTTTAACTCGTTATTTTTAAGACTACCTTTGACCTCAGGAGAGTTTCAAAACGGAATAAATATATGCATATGGTCAGAACCTTGCATTTTATAAAGAGTGAACCTGAGTCCCCGAGTGGTGAAGTACCGTGACCTACATCAGTTGGCCAAGGGTGGGTGTGTTTAGAACCACCCCAGCTGTCTGAGTTACAAGCCATAGTTCCTTCGCTCCACCCCATGCCAAATCATGGGTTCAAATCCTGAATCTCTTTTGCTGTTACAGCTTTTTCCCTTCTCTTCTATCCTTCCTATATGTCAATGTGGTGCCTCAGCCATCTAAAATGAAATGCTATGGCCCATTACCTCAGCCTTATATTTATTACCAAAAGTACAGTTACATAACTCTACTGTTTCCTAATGCTATAGCATTTCAAATAGAAACGTTCAAGAGAAGAAACCACAAGACAGGTGTAGGAGAGTACCTTTGGCCTCACATATTAGAGAACTCTTATAAGACACATTACCATGTGTGAAAACAGTGGTCTATGTGCTCATTTGATATAGAAACAAAACATGGGAGCTGCTTTTATAGCAGATTTTGGAGCAATCACGTACTTTCTAAATAGGGAAGATTTGAGGGAGGAGGAGGAGATCAAATATGAAGGTTGGGGGAAAGTGTGTGAACTCTATCATGTGGCAGAGGTAAAAATCTTAAGCTTGAATTGTCCAGTAGAGCAGCTGCGTGCTGTATGAACTATTTAGACTCAAACCATTGCAGTGAAATAGAACTTAGCAATTAGCTTCCAACCATACAATTTGTGTGTGCCTAGCGAGTGCTAGGCTGGGCTGCACAGAGATGTGGCTAAGATTCAGCCTTGAAGGAAGTCATCTAGAAGAGGGTTAGAGAAGAAGCGTGGTCCAGAAGGACGAGCCCACGGAAGGGGTACATAAGACGACTGTTGCCTCCCGGAATCACAGGTTCGAGTCCTCACTGCCAAAATGTGATGATGCTAAAGGGTGCGACCTTTGCGGGTGAAATGTTTGAGAAGCAGGGAGCCCTCACAAAGAGGATCAGCGCCATCATAGAAGAAACTCCAGAGAGCACCCCCTCTCCCCTTTCTATGAGTTTTGACAGAGAGAGAAGATGGCTTTCTATGAAGCTGGAAACAGGTCCCTCAGACACTGAACCTGTCCAGTGTCCTGATCTTGGACCTCCAAACTTCAGAACTATGGTTATTGTGTACGTTACTGAGCTGATGTTTTTGTTATACTTGGGCAGCAATGTTCAGCAAGAAAAGGCTGTACTTGACAATGGGGAGTAAGAGACCTTGGCTACGCTGGATTGATCTTTGGGAAGATCCTGAATTGGGTTGGATTGGGAATAAAAGGCCTTGGCTATCTGCTGTATGCCTTTGGGCAAATCTTTAAAAGTGAGGCACTCTGGGCAGAAGTATTCCCGAGAACTGGGCTGGTAGATGCTCCTTTTTTTGTTTGTTTGTTTGCTTTTCGAGACAGGGTTTCTCTGTGGCTTTGGAGCCTGTCCTGGAACTTGCTCTGTAGACCAGGCTGGCCTCAAACTCACAAAGATCCGCCTGCCTCTGCCTCCCGAGTGCTGGGATTAAAGGCGTGCGCCACCATCGCCCGGCCTAGATGCTCCTTTTTTGAAAAACAGAAAGTGTACCTTTCTCAAAACAAGGGAGACAGTACAAAACAGTGGTTGCCTGGGCCTGGAAAGGTGAGAAGAAGGAAGCAAAGACTAAGTGGAACACAGTGGTCTTTAGGGTACGAATTATTCCATGAGATTCAGTAATAGTGCACGCCTGCCATCATACATATATCCAAACCCACAGCAGGTACATCACAGATGAATCCTAACATGTACTGTGACCATTAGCTCCAATAACCCTACCCAATGTTGTCTTATCAGCTGCAATGACTGTATCACACTGTCACAATGTCACTGCACATTGTCATATGCAAGCCGTGAAGAGTTCAAGAACGCAGAGGTGGGGTAGAAGGGCAGACGAGGACACACGGCTCTTTCTTACGCTTTCTCTTTCCTTTTTAAAGGCTGAAACTGCCCTAAGTGGTCTATTAATCACAAATGGCTTAGCTGTTTCCCATCAAAATTTACACTTCTGCACAAACAGTAGCATGACGGCAAGATGCAGGACCTCGGTACCGACTGATAAACCTGACATCATCACTTACAGTTGTATAAATATTTGTCAGAGGAAAACACACCGAAACAAAACAGTGTCCTCTCCTTCCAGGTGTCCACAGCCCAGCGTCACTCACTCACCCTTGTGAGCAGAATGCACGCTAAGCTGTCATTTCCATTTGCTTCCTCTTGAGCTCTCTGTGCACAGCGCAGACTGTAAAACTGTGTATAGAACCAGCCCCCTACCTCGTATTACTGTCAAGAGTCTCTATCCCAGAGTTGTGGCTACGGTGACAATCTCTGGGGGACAAGGAATGATTGGAGAAAGGGACTGCCTATCAACACTTACCCCTCAAAGAATACAGTTCAGGACAAAGAATGAAGACCCACCATCAAAGCTCTGAGATGCTCCGAACTGGTATGCGAGTGTAGATAGCAGCCCAAAGGTAGAGAAGCAAAGACCAGCATAGCATACCTAGAAGGTCATATCTGCAAGGCTGAGTTCTGGGATCTGGAGTTGCTGGCCGGCTCAGCTAGTCTGGTCCTGGGCAGCAAAGTGCTAGGATCCTGCAGGACAGCAGATCTGGGGAGAGGCCGAGGACTAGAGTAAGTTACAGGAGCAGGCTGTATATATGCCACAGTCCAGAGGCTGGAGGGAAAGAGGAGAAGGGAAACACATCCCAGCAATGACTGGAATGCATCAGCTATGCAAAACAAAACTCCTGGGAAAACCAAGCTGAGTCTTGGATTGTGGTTCAAGGAACAAGCCACTGGGATAAAGAGCTTTGCCTTTTGGGCCACCGGCTAGCACCCAGCCCAGGTTAGGAGTTAGCCACGTGTTTCAGATGTCATTGTGAGGGGAGTGGCTGGGGCCAGCCTAGCCTTCTAGTAATCCCGAAAAGAATCACCTACCACAATAGGTAATCTTAGCAGCCTGCTTCACAGAGCAAGCGGAAGGGATCTCTGCATTCCGATACCTGTTCAATCCCAGCCAAGCAAGGGAGTCAATCCAGAAAGGCACTGAAATCATATGGAAAATTTCTACTACTTGCAGGATAGGCCAGGGCCACCCAAGCTTATTCTTTGGCCACCTGCCTCTGAGGCGTCTTGGGACCTTGTTACCCACACACATTGCCGAAGTCCACCTTAGACCAAGCGAGTCTGTTTCTTCAGAATGGGGTCTGGGGATTATGAAGAACTATAGGAGATTGAGGGCTATCGGAGTCTGGGGACCATGGGAGCCTGAAGGGTATGGGAGCCAGATGACCATGGAAACGGAGCTGCTGTTTGAAGAGCCATTCTCTCTGTGGTGGGGGAGAGCATGTGGTGGGGGAGAGCATCAGTATCACCTAAGGGCCTTGGACGAGCACAGCTGTCTTCCTGTGCCTTATTGTAACTGGCCTGGCAGGAATGAAGACATTCTAAACAGACACTCCTTCCCTTCATTTTGGTTATCAGACCACTGAAACAATGGACTCCAAGAAACTGGGATCTCCCCCCACTCACCCTCCCGCCCACCCACTCCTCCCAGGAATCTCATGTATACAGAAGAGAAGTCTAAAGCCTGGGATAGCCAGAGGGGAAACTTTCTCTCAGAAAGAGATTTACAAATTGTTTGCATACCTTATGAGGGAGACAGTGGGACTATATCTTGATTGGCTCTATTAGCTATAACAACCCTGGCCCTCTACTCCAGAGTTTCCAATTCAGTACCTAGGGTAAGGTCTGAGGACCCATGTTTCTGAGGAGTTCCCAGGACTTACCATTGACCCAGGAGCACGCTTTGGGAAAGACTTGATTAAAAATGCTTCTCTTTTCCAGGTAATGTCTTAAACGCTAACATCCTACTTGCTCACACGCATCACTGAGTTGGCTCCCACCCGCCCTGTTACTCGGGTGACTAACAACCATGACCTCTCTCTCACCTTGTTAGATAACCTGTCATTTTAAATGGACAATACCCGAGGGGATTTCACCTTGCCAGGATAAAACCATGTACATTGTTCTGGTTCCAAATATTTACATTCTATCAGCCCTGTCCCCCTGTTTGGCACTGACAGCAACCTGTCCTGTGGCTTCTAGCTTCAAAAACTAAAACCCGGCCCTTCCTTTGCTTGCCCTAAGAGACAGTGTGAAAAAAAAAATGCTTACGAAGAAAGAGGAACCTGTGGATATTCTGAAATTTAGAAAGTGTTATTTTGGGGAGGCTTTCTGGGACAGGATGTCCCCACATCAGCTAGAGGAAGCCAAGCTTTTGATAAACACTATTTTGCCCTGCACAGATCAAAGGGAGCCATTTATTCAAGGAAGGGATGGAAGGATTTGATGAGGTCCTTCTGCAGACACCCTGTAAACAGGATAAACCCTATCAGTGAAAGCTTAATCCACAGCCAGGCCACATCCCCAGGAACAATGGAGCAACCAGAACTGTGGGTGGCGCGGAGAGAGCTTCAGTCCTGACAAGATTTTTTTCTACCAGGGGGAATGACTGTAAACAGGATTAGGCCTAATGAGATTACCAACACAGGACCAGCAGGCCAGGGGTGGAGAGCTTAATGTTCTATATCGAAAAGACACAGAAATAGCTTGTAGGGTGAGAAGATTGCAATGCAAGAGGTAAGGATTTTCCTACCTAACTTCCTTCCAGTCGGGGTGGAATTGCTCCTTAGATCAGTGGTTCTCAACCTGTGGGGTGTGACCCCTTTGGGGGTTGCATATCAGATATCTATGTTACAATATATAACAGTAGCAAAATTACAGTTATGAAGTAGCGAAGAAATAATATTATGGTCGGGGGGTCACCAAATGTGAGAAACTGTATTGAAGGGTCACAGCATTAGTAAGATTGAGAACCACTGCCTTAGATGGAGAGATATCACAACTATTGCCTTGATAGAAGTGGGAGAGCCAGGTCTTAAAGTTTTCCATCAGGTGCATTGCAAAAACCTGGACACACTTTGTTTCAACAGGGTGGGAGGAGTTGCGAGTATCTCGGGGCATACAACAGGAGCATTCTTTCATAACCTGAGACATCCCTGTCCAACAGCATCCCTGCCCTCTAGAGGGATGAAGAAGGAATCCAGCCAGAAAATGATGCTTGGCAAGTTGGGTACCAAGTTCAGCAATAGATGGCTGGGAATAGACCAGAACTATCATTGGACTTCATGTTGAATGGATGTTAGTGTTATGATTTTGCTAGGGGTCCCGAGCAGCTTGCTGCAGGGTCCCGGTGGCTGGTCTCCAGCCATGTGTTGGCGGGCTTGTCCTGCAGGCAGTGAGTCCCCGGAAAGTGCAAGTTCCAGGGGAAGGTGCAAGTTGCCAGCGGCAAATAGTGTGGGCAGATGGCGGGTGGGAGGCACATGGACAGACACATCGTACAGAATAGAACTGAATATTTATTAGTTGAATTATGGTGGGGAAGGAAAAGGGGGAGAAGGAGTGAGAGAGAGAGAAGAGAGAGAGAAGACGACAGAGAGAGGGGGAAGAAGGAAGAGAAGGGAAAGAGAGAGAGAGAAGAGGACAAAGAGCGAGTCAAGATGGAGAGAGAGGGAGGAGGCTGCAGGGAGTGGGCGTGGCTTGTCTCTTAAAGAGATAAACAATCATAACAGTTACCAGGTCATAACTCCCAAGAGGGTAAAACTGGAACTTAATTCAAGTGAAAAGAATGAAGAGTATATGCATTAGCTGCAACTATGTGATGGGTAGCTTTATTTATCAGCTTGTCACAAGCTAGAACTACTTGGGAGTAGAGTCTCAACAATGGATTGTCTATTGTGGATATCTCTATAGGGGACATAGCCACAGTCTAAGGCTTCTCCTGACACTGGCCAGGCAACGCTGCTTCTCCTCAGCTCATCTGGAATGGTCAACTCATTCACCCCAGGATGCTTGCTGGTTGTTGGTCACCTTGGAGTACCATGTGGCTTCTCCTGGGGCATAAGAGCTTACTTCTGGGACACAAGGCTGCCACTTTGCTGAAGTAACCCATTCTCTTGCTTCCAGAGAACTCTAGAGTGTTCATTTACTCTCGGTACAACGCTTAGTACATGCCGGACCCTCGTGACAGATTCGTCAAAAGCATGAAGGAATGTTTCAGTAAAATCCAGTCCCTCTGGGGTAGCTATTGATTTTGTAACATGAAAAAGAATGTGGGTTTCAGAGGAGGAAAGATGGGATCCTTTTGTGCTCAGTTTCTTCTGAGTCTTGAAGCTTACCTTGACTACGGTCATACAAGGAGGAGTGGGCAGACATCCTCCCCAAGGAGCCGAGACTCGGGGAGAGCACACTTTGCAAATGCATGATGGACAGAGAGCAATGGAAGCAAACGTGTCACTGTAACTGCGTTTTAAGTACTTGGTTGCCACCATCGTATTGATGGAGCAAGATTTCCTACTTCCTTCTAGCCGTAAGAATTCTGCACGTATCCCATGACTGCGGTGTCTATTTAGCAAACTTCCAGAGAGTTCCACAATCCTGCACACACTGGGCCTGTTGTGCCATTTCTGTGACATCGGGCACTTTGAAAATCACCCTCAATTTACGCTTTCATCTTCTGTTCCCATTAGGTGTCTGTAGCTCTCAAATTTTTGCCGCCTTCTCAAAGATGACTTTTGGACATCTCGCTGGCTTGTGCTCTTTGTTGAGTTCCCTCAAAGTTTTGTTCTGTTTTCCCTTCATCCCTCTCCTTCCCCTCTTCAAAGTCTACAGTGAACGTCAAATCTGTGGTCTCGATTATGGTTGTTTGAAGGGTAACCCCAAATGTAACACTCAGTTCAGGAAATCCTTCCTAGATTTTTTTTTTTTAGCTCAGTCCTTTAGAACTTAGGAAGGAACATATGCCAGGCTATCATGGGATAAAGTGACAAAGAACCCTGGGTTGATGAGAGATGCAAACATCGGTTGACGTGAGAGGTAGCATGGGAACCCGCAGGAGAAACTGAACTCAAAAGTGATTTATGGACTTGTTTTCTTCTTCTCTCCAATTCATGTATGGAAACCAAACCCCTTCAAGGTGGCATTCTAGGTTTTTGTTTTGTTTTGTTTTTCCAGACAGTTTCTTTATGCAATAGTCCTGGCTGTCCTGGAACTCACTTTGTAGACTAGCTGACCTCGAACTCACTGAGATCTGCCTGCCTTTGCCTCCCAAGTGCTGGGATTAAAGGCGTGTGCCACCACCACGTGGTTTAGGGTAGCATTATGCACTGGGTACTTTGGTGTCTGCTAGGATCGGATGCAACCATGCGGAACCTGCCCCTCTGTGTGCAAGAGGCACTACCACTGAACTCTGCTCCCAGCCCTTGTGGCATTTAGAAATGTGTTAAGATGAGGAAACAGTCAAGCAGGACACAGTCTGGAAGACCTGGGGCCACATGCAGGGAGATCTTTTGGCTTCTCACGAACTCTCTCTCTCTCTCTCTCTGATTCTGATGGTCACAAGGGCATTGCCTGGGTCAGCACACTCCTTATGGGCTCAGGCTTGATATGTATGTGCTGATTTCCAGACAGTTCTTTCACAAGTGAAGCAAGAACCCACAAAAGTCTAATAACCAACTTATTAAGGGGTACAAGGAAAAGACAAACTCACAGATAAACAGCAAATCAGACGCCACTGCTGACCCAACTGTCTTCGTCCAGCCATTCTGCCCAGGGGTGAAGAACACCAACTGTGCTGCCTCTCTATGGCTTGCTCTCTCTGGCCCACCATGCTGAGAGAGAGAGAGAGAGAGAGAGAGAGAGAGAGAGAGAGAGAGAGAGAGAGCTCCTATCAGTTTTTAACCTGTCCCTCATGCAGAAAAAAAAAAAATCCCTTTGGCTAAAGGGATTGAAATCCCCTAACACTTTACTAGATCATTCCAGGGAACCTTCTGGCTCCTTCCTCTGGGTTCAGTGGAGATTGCTCTCCATGGTCCCGCATCTGACTCATTCTTTGCATTTCTGTGGATAATATCACTGAATCCCTGGGCTTACGAGGTCCTTTCAGACTGATAACGCCCAAATCCCCATCTCCAGCTAACTTCATACTTGAAAGTGCATCTGTAGATCTTCCCAGGTACCCAACTGAAGCTGGGCTCTGCCCACCAAGTCCTGCTGCTCTACCCTGTCTGCTGGATAACATCCTCCACTCTGTTATCCCAACAGAAACCCAACCTTGGGGTCCACTTACCCTCTTCCGCCTTCTTCCACCAGAAAGTCAATATTGCCTCTGACCACTTGTGACTTCATCTCCTCTTCCGTGCCCATTTTGTATCATCCTTTGTCATCTCTCCCCTGGGCTCCCCAGTAGTTTCTTACTCAGTCACTTCTGTACAGTGTGGCAGCCTCCCAGTTGGTCTTCCAGGCTATTCCAGAATTTTTTGTTCTCAAGATAGAAGTTGAGAATCTTACTCCATGGCTCAAGGTCTTCTCATTGCCCATGACTAGATACAATTTAAACACATGCCTGGCACACACCCCTCTTCACTATTTGCCTTCTGACCTCCTGGTCTAGGTTGTTTGTTGACGCTTCCAAGTTCTACTTCAGGTCCCATGAAGGGACCAGCTTTACAACCACACCCTTCTGCCTCTGTAGTCCCTGTTTGCCTTGCCTCTTCCTTCACCCTGGACGACAGAAGCTGATGTTCCTCTTTTTCTCAGTATACCCGATGATTACCAAGCACAGCTGAGTCCTTTTCATTTTATCTGCGGCCGCAGAGGAACAGCCCCATATAGCCAGTAACCAGAAACTGTGGAGTTTTCCTGCAGTTTCTGGTTCTGGTCGTTTGCCGCCTCTTTTCAGAAGCTAAAGGCTGATCTAGCTCTCAGAGCCATGGATGACAAGACGGGGGCAGGCAGCCTCTCTGATGTCTACACTCAACACATTCCTCCTCAGAAGGCCAATTGTTTGGAGGATGTCAGGCTGGATTTCCAGTTTTCCAGAGGCGGATTCTACATGAAAGTGACTGTCCTCATTTCATGGCCTGGAATTCTGCCTTCACTCCTCGGCAGCTTTGTGATATCAGCAAATCCTTTGACCTCTCTGTGCCCCAGATCTGTCGTTTATAAAATGGGGGTGATAATCCTCAGGATACATCTCTTAGGATTCTCACGAGTTAAGTGAGTCACGGTTTAATGTAGGATTTGAAAGCGTACCTGACGTGCAAATATAGAGGCGTGTCTGTAAAATCAGTCTATTCATCAAGGGATCCCTATTTGTCTTGGTGTTGGGGCAGAGCAAGGATGCTGGGCTAGATAATACAGGTAGTGCACTATCTGGGTATCTAGGCTATAAAAAATTGCTGTCACTGTTTTTATGATTCTTATTTTTATATTTCAAACTAATTTTTAAAATGAGGACACAGAGTGATGGCTTCCTTTGCCATCTTCACACTTCTAACTTGTCCCCTCCCCATTGCCCTCCCTCCTGTCCCCGCCAGCTGGTTCCCTCTCTTCCTTCAGTTAATCCCAACTTCTGCTTTCTGAATACAAGCATTCCAATTGTGTTTCTATTTCTCACCTGCCTTATACCTTCCTCTGCCCTCACCTTTATTTGTTTTCTTGATGACAGCCATTCTGACTGAGCACTGAGCGGGATGGAATCTCACTAAATGTTGTCTGTCACCCCTGTTATCTATCCCATCCTATAACGAAGCCACAAAATGGGTACCATTTGCACACTTTGCTGAGAAAAGCAGAATCCAGGACTGAAATGCTCAGTGCTACATAGCTTCATTCTGATTGTCACGTGCAACCTCTCCCTATCAAGGGGCATGTGCTTTCACGGGGCAAATGTGACTTAAGAATGACGAAGTGTATCCCCGTAGCATACTGGTTGGAAAGTGGTCCATACATACTACAATTTGTAGAACAGTCAGCATGTGTGTTCACATCCCTTAGAAAATGAAATTGACACGATTCTCTTTTTAATTGCAGTGAACAACAAGTCTCTGTCTTCCCCTGTCCTCTCCACGCAGTGTTTCCCTTCCCAAACTGTCAACTAATATTCCAGAACCAGTCTAAGAACTAGCAGTCACCTTATCACAGTCAGTATTCTTTGTTTGGGCTGCCTCCCTTTGATTGCTTAACATGCATCCAAGCATTTAAATTCAAATGCTCATTTCTTTGGATCCACCTTGGGAATATCTAGTGATATGTTTCCAGATTAGGCTCTCAACCGGCGACAGTAGAGCCCATGCCTTTATCTAAGGAGTAGTTCTGCAGAGCCTCCAGGGTCGGGGTGGGGGGAGGGTGAAAGGGGAGGAGTGGGGGAGAGGTCAAGTCTATGACTGCAATTGTCTTAGCACCTATCAGGACTGTCTCTTCAAACAAGGATCTCAGTATCTTTCCTAAGTTCCCACTTCCATCCATGCTTTTTAAATTTTCTTTCTGCTCTCCCCTGCCCTGTCCCCACACACTTACAGTTTGTTCTTTTGCGGGGCCCTAGAGCAGGGAACAGGCCTATATATTCTTACTCCTAGCAGGATGGAGACCTTTATTTGAAAGGAGAGGGACAGTGGGTAAACACAAGCTGTTGACTCATTTTGACTACTGAATGCTCTGGCAGGAGGCCCCACAGGTGACCTACTTCCTCCGGTGCCTTTGGCAGACTAAGGAAACAATGCCCAGAAAAGATCAGTAACTTTCCCTGAAGCCCATTGAGTGCCAACTTCAGAGACAGCATCGCCTGAAGACAAGCAGGGCCAAGCATACAAGGTACAGGGCATGTGCGGG